GTGCCTCTGCCCCCCCTCCCCGTTTTACTCCCGTCCCCTTCTCTGCCCCCATTCCCTACTCCCCCACTTCCTTCTCTGGGCTTCTGTCCCTTTCTCCCTGCCTCCACTTTGCGATCCTGGTCTTCATCCAGCCCCACACCTGCCCCCTCTGCATCCCACTTTCCAGCCATCTCCCTCCACCTGCCCCCTCTGCATCCCACCTTCCCAGCCATATCCCTCCACCTGCCCCTTCTGCATCCTGCCTTCCCAGCCATATCCCTCCACTTGCCCCTTCTGCATCCCACCTTCCCAGACATATCCCTCCACCTGCCCCTTCTGCATCCCACCTTCCCAGCCATCTCCCTCCACCTGGCCCCCCTCCATCCTGCCTTTCCAGCTGTATCCCTCCACCTGCCCCTGTTTCCATCCCTCCTTCCCAGCCCCATCCATCCACCTGCCCCTGTTTCCATCCCTCCTTCCCAGCCATATCCCTCCACCTGCCCCTGTTTCCATCCCACCTTTACAGCCACCCCTGTCTCCATCCTGCCTTCCCTGCCCACTTTTCCTCCATTTCCCCTTTTTCCACTCCCCTCACCCACTGCTTTCTTTCTTTGGCTCTCCTTCAATCTGTCTCTTCCTACCTCATCACCTACCCCCAGCCATTGAAAGACCAAAAGTGTCCCCCACTGTTGAGTGTTCTGCCCCCTGGAATCACCAACCCTCCTCCCCACAATCCTCAACCCTCTCTTCCAAAACCACCAGTCCCACCCTGCCCACTCTCCACTCCTCCACCCTAACGCTGCCTCCTCCCCTCCCCAACTTCCTCTCATCTGCCCCCCCACAACTGCCACTCCATCCCCAGCTATTCACTCCCTCCCTTCCACCCTCAAACATGTCATTTCAAGCCACCCTGACCCTCAGGGGGACCCACACCTGCTAGAGCTCTGAGATCCGCAGAGGGGTTATCTGTTCACCATAGACACCCCTATAATCAGTCCATAAACCTTCTGATTCCTTCATCCCCAGACACATCTGACTGTCTGCCTGAGTGTCTGTCTGTCCCATACCCTCTAACACCCCCTTTCTCTCTCTCTCTCTCTCTCTCTCTCTCCATCTTCCCACTCTATTTTCTTCTGTGTTTTCACTACCCTTTTGCTTCTCCCTGCCCCCATCCCTGGGGAGCCAGGCAGTACAGGGCACCTATGGCAAGGCCATGGGACAATACTGATGGGAGTGCTCTGGGAATTGGGGAAGGGGTGGACAATGCCTCCCAGATCCAAACCTCCCTCACCTCCTGACAAAAGTTCCCAGGCTGGGAAGCAGAAATGTGGGGGCAGTGAGTATGATTGGGCCCAAGGGGCTGAGACCAAGGCTGGAGGGGGAACAAAGCAAGGGAATGGATCAGGGAAAAGAAGGCATGGATAGAGATTCCCGAGCAACAGAGCAGGGGGGTTGGGCACCAGATCTCCTGGGTTCTCTCCCCAGCTCTGAGTGTGGGGGCTGGATGGTTAGAGCAGGGGAGTTGGGCGCCTGGACTTCTGGGTCTGTCCGCAGCTCTTGGGAGTTAGTTAGAATGGAGTGGGACAGCTGGGAGCCAGGGCTCCTGGGTCCTCTTCCTGGTCCTCAGGGATGGCCGGAGTAAAGCAGAATCTCCCTGCTCCGGAACTCCGGTTGCCAGGGAGACACATGGCTACCGGTTCCTATTGCCACAGCAACGGGGCCTTGGCTTTGAGGATGAGAAAAGAGGATGGAATCCATCGTTCACAGCCCCTCCCTGCCCGGCTGCTGCAGTGACACACGGCTGGAGGAACAGGGCTGGGCTGGCAGGAGTGAGGGGCACCGGCAGGGTTGGGAGGAACCTAGGGGTGGGTGGCAGGGGCCGCCAGTTGGGAGTGAGGGGCACTGGCAAGGTTGGGAGTAGCCCAGGTCTGGGTGGCAGGGACTGTAGGTCGGGAGTGAGAGATTCAGCAAGGCCTTTGTTGGGCTTTACATGGTAATGTGTTTAACCCAAGGTATAGCAGGGTGATACCCCAATATTTTCCATGGCCACCCCAGGTAACCATGGGGCTGAGATTGAGGCCCTAGAACCAAATCTCTCAGTGAACCCAGCCCTGCCATACATCTCCACTGAGCCCCTCTGTGTGTCTGACTGTCCTATTGACCCCCCATCTAATCACCCTGTCCAATACTCTCTCTTTCTCTCTCACCCGGCTGGGTATGCATGGCTTGGCCATTGCTCTGGACTGCCTGAATCTCTCTGATGAGACTTGGGCTAATTACCGGTTCCCAGCTCTAATTGCCGGATTCTGAAGCATAAGCACAAAACTCCCCAGTTATTTAATTAAAGCCCTGGTGTAACTGCGGAGGTTGTTGGGAGGGGGGCCAGTGATGTGGAACAGGGCCGTGTCTTGGTGCCAGGATTCCTGGGAGCACAGATACATAATGAGGGGAGATGGGTCTGTGTCTCTATGCCAGGGGGTCCCCTACAGCCCTGTCACTGCCCCATGGCTGAGGGGCAAGGTCTCAGAGGGGTCACTCTGTTAGTCTAACTTTAAAACTCTGTGGTCCTGTGGCACCTTAGAGACTGTCACTGCCCATGACTGAGGGGCTCTCTCACTGAGCCCCACACCCTGGCTTCTATCTTTGCTCTTTGTCAGTTTCCCCTGCAATTAACACGTTCTGGGGATAGGGGGATTTTGGTGGGGGACGGCTTCCCCCTGTCCAGCATCCCCATTCACAGAGCACTCCCATAAGGGTGTTGTCCAATGGCCTTGGCAGAGGCGCCCCATACGGTCAGGTTGCAGGGCCAGAGGGGTCAGCCACTGCCAAGTGCAGGGGGATTGGCAGCTCTATGAGGGGAGCTCTGGGGTGATGCAGTCAGAACAAGGGCTCCCCCAGATCTGCTGCATGCCAAAAGGGGCCTCTTCCCAATTGTGGGTTTTATTTGCAGAGAAAGGGATAAATCCCTGGGATGAGGGCATATGGCAGTCCAAGAAGAATTCGGGTGGTCAAACAGAAGAGCTGGGGAGTGAACCATGAACTGGGGGTTTTCTGTCCTCTTCAGTAGTTAGCGTCAGCTCCTCTTTGTTTTCTTCTATACCTTGTTCCTGCCTATGCCTACCTCCTCCCCTCCATTATCCCCACAAATGCCCCCTCCCTCTCCGCCCACGCCTGCCTCCTTCCCTCCATTGTCCCCACCACTGCCCCATCCCTCTCCACCCACGCCTGCCTCCTTCCCTCCATTGTCCCCCATACATCCCATCCCTCCGCCCACACCTGCTTCCTTCCCTCCATTGTCCCTCATACATCCCATCCCTCCGCCCACACCTGTCTCCTTCCCTCCATTGTCCCCACAACTGCCCCATCCCTCCCTGCCCATGCCTGCCTCCTTCTCTCTGTTGTTCCCACAACTGTCCCATTCCTCTCCGCCCACACCTGCCTCCTTCTGTCCATTGTCCCTGTCCACCCCCATCCCTCTCTGTTATTTTCTCTCCTGGTGCAGGTGAGGCCCCCATGCTGCGCCCACCCACTGGACCCCTCCCCGCACCACCCCCGACCCATCATGGAACGCAACAGAGCCCCCTGGTGCTGCTAGAGTCCCCTTGCTGAGCCACGCCTGGATCCACATCTCTTTCCACAAGCACCCTCTCCCCACCATGCTGCTCCCTCTTGGTGCCAGCTGGCAGACGGGCGCAGCCGTCCTGCTCTGGGCTGTGGTGCTGGCCAGGGCAGCCAGCGCGCCGAAGCCAGAAGAGAAGCACCCGGTGGCTAGCACCAACTATGGCAAGCTGCGGGGCATGAAAAAGGACTTGAACAACGAGATCCTGGGGCCGGTGGTGCAGTATCTGGGGGTTCCCTACGCCACTCCGCCTGTTGGCGACCGGCGCTTCCAACCCCCCGAAGCCCCAGCCTCCTGGGCCGATGTCCGCAATGCCACGGCCTTCGCCCCCGTCTGCCCACAGAACGTGCACGGGATGCTGCCTGGCATCATGCTACCCGTCTGGTTCACCGACAACCTGGAGGTCGTGGCCGCCTATGTGCAGAACCAGAGCGAGGATTGTCTCTACCTCAACCTCTACGTGCCCATGGAGGACGGTAAGGGGCCAGATTGGAGGGCATGGAAGCACACAGTGGTCTTGGGGCATATTGGAGGTCGATAGAACAGAGAAAGGGACTGGGGCATATTGGGGGATCGATGGCACAGAGAAGGGGGCTGGGGTATATCAGGAGTTCAGTGGCAGAGAGAAGGGGGCTGGGGTGTATGGGGGGTCAGAGGTACAGAGAAGGGGGCTGAGGCCTATCAGAGGGTTGGTGGCACAGAGAAAGGGACTGAGGCGTCTCAGGGATTTGGTAGCACAGAGAAGGGGGCTGAGGTGTCTCAGGGGATCAGTGGTACAGACAAGGGAACTGAGGCCTGTCAGGGGATTTGGTGGCACAGAGAAGGGGGCTGGGGCTTTTCAGGGGATCAGTGGTACAGAGAAGGGGGATGAGGCCTGTCAGGGGGTCGGTGGCTCAGAGAAGGAGGCTTGAGCTTTTCGTGGGATCAGTGGCACAGAGAAGGAGTCTGGGACTGTCGGGAGGTTGGTGGCACAGAGAAGGGGACTATGATGAGTACTGGGGAAGGTCAGTGCCAGGTGATTTGTGGGGGCTGCCATGAGAGAAGGAGCAAGCTACTAACCCCCTTTGTGACCTCAGAGTCTCCCCCAGAGGCCATCTCACTCCTACAGCTGCCACCTACTCTGTGAATGGCTCATGGGGAGACTTTTCACCCCTGTGGCCCCACATCAGAGTCTGGGGGTTCTACCCAGGGCAAGATGGGCATGTGGGGTCCTTCATTACTAGGTGTGGGGGCAGCTTGGAGCACCCAAAGGCAGCACCTCAGACACCTTCATCAGGGACCCTCAAATTCCTCCTCCCCTGCTGCCAGTGTTAGGGGCTGAGGGGTGGAGTGAGGGGTCCCTTTGGGTGATGCGGGGCACGATAGGAAATGAGGGGTTACCTGGGATCTCCAGCCCACTCTTCCCCAGTGTGCCAGCCAGTTGCCATGGGGCAAAATGGGGGAGGGATGGAAACATAGGGGGTAAATTAGGGAAACTGAGACTCAAATTCCTCCTCCCCTGCTGCCAGTGTTAGGGGCTGAGGGGTGGAGTGAGGGGTCCCTTTGGGTGATGCGGGGCACGATAGGAAATGAGGGGTTACCTGGGATCTCCAGCCCACTCTTCCCCAGTGTGCCAGCCAGTTGCCATGGGGCAAAATGGGGGAGGGATGGAAACATAGGGGGTAAATTAGGGAAACTGAGAGAGAAAAAGGGAGCAGCCACCCACAGGTCCCTTGGACACCCCACTCTCTGCCACTCCCCATTCCTCCTCCCATCACCCCCACAGTCTCCCTAGACACCCACAGCTCCCATCCACACACACCCCCTGACATTCCTTTAAAACCCCTGGTTCCCATCCATCTTAGCCACTGCAGCCTCTCCCAAAGCCCCACATCTCCCCATTGCTTTCCCAGGCCCGTCACCCCCTATCCTCTCACCCCCCCTTCACCTCCAAACCTCCCTCAGCTGGTTGGCCACATCTTGGTGCTGGGAGAGATGTCCCTGTGTAATCAGCCATTCTGCCCCAGAGATGGCCGCATCTCAGCACCAGGCAAGGGATCCCTGTGTCACCAGCTGCCCTGCCCCAGAAGTAGCTGCATTTTAGAGCCTGGTGAGGGATCCCCCTATAGTCAATGCATGTGCGAAAGCTGGGTGTGTGTGTGTGTCATTATTTCTGGCATCAATTTATCCTAGGAACAGGTATTGGTGGTGGGATCTAGTAGCCAGGACTCCTGGGTTCTCTCCCCATCTCTGGGAGGGGAGAGGGGACAGGAAAGGCAGAGTTTCCAGGCTTCCACTGCTCTGCCAATAATTTTTCATCTGTGCCTCAGTTTCTCCATCTTGGGGGATCTTTGCCCTTCCTTTGCCTGTGTAGGTGACAAACTCTTTGAGGTGGGGGTCTGCCTCATGGTGTCTCTGTGCTCTGCGGGGGCCCTGACCTCTGATGGGTGGGGGGTGTGCAGCACCCAGCATGATGGGGCCCTATTGCAGGGGTGGGGAACCTTGATTCTGTGTGCTCCAGGCGCCTTGGAGGCTGGATCCAGGCAAGCTGGGTAGCTGTATCTGGCCCTCAGGCCCGAGGTTTCCCACCCCTTCCCTAAAGGATCCTGTGATACCATTCCCACCCCCTGCAGCCTGTTCCCTTCCCTGGGACTGCCAAGTGTCTTTGGGGGGCCTTGTGGCAGCCTGTTACCCTGTGCCCAATCAGACATGAGCCCCTTATCCCAGTATCCCAGCCCAGTCTGACCCATGGGCCCATCTAGTCCCAGATCCAAGCCCCTCAGCCTGCAACCCAGTCATGCAACTGAGAACTACAAACCCACATGCTGTTTTCCCTGGTAGAGCTTGCACCTGTCCATCCCCATCCACCCCATGCACCTTTATCTATCTATCTATCTATCTATCTATCTATCTATCTATCTATCCCATTTTCCTGTTCATTTCCCATATCTCTGCTCACTAAGAAGGGTTTCAAGGGGTGGGGCACATTCATCAACCTTTTACTGCAGCTCCAAGTCCAGCCCCCATCTCCTTCTAACCACCTTTGACTCAACAGCTGATTTCGGTGTCTGTATCCATTTTTTCTGGGGAAAAAGTGTATTTTGCTTTAATATAGAAATATATATATATTCTTAATAAAATGTTTTTGGTTTTTGGTGTTTTTTCCTTTTTTAAAGCAAAAACAAAGAAAAAAATCTCTTTTTCTTTTTGATCTTTTCTCTTTCTGTCTTTTTTCCCCACTTTCCCAATTTTTCTTTTTTCTTGGTCTTAGGTCCACTCACAAAAAAACGCGACGATCCGACCGGAAACAGTCCCTCGGGAGACGAAGGTATTTTTGGCTGCATGTTTCACAACATTTCTTGCTTTTTTCCCCCCTTCTCCTTTTTTTCTTTCTTTCTTTCTTTTTCTTCCCAAACAAACAACAATAACTCTTTTTTGTGGTTATTTTTTTATCGGGGGTGGTCTCTTTTTCACCCAAATCTTTTTCTTTCTACTTAAAAAAAAGTCTAACGAAGCCCTGCCCCCCCCAAAAAAAATCCAAAACAACAATTGCTATTTTTCCCCCCCCCTGTTTCTTGATCTTTTGACTTTTTATTTTTTTGGAAAAGAAACTGAATGAAAAACACTGCCCAACAGAGGAATTTGGGTGGAGGGGTGTCTTGTAAAGCTAAGGAGGGGGAAGGTTTCCGGGAGGTATAGAGGGATGTACCCCTAAAATGACCCCTCTTGTTTCCTTCCCTTCCCCCCCAAAGAAAACATTTCTGTGTCGTACTCTGAAAGGGATCTCAGTGGATTTTCCTGTGGGGAGGGGTCTGAAAATGGGTCTATTTAGCTTGGCATCTGGTCTGCTCCCAGATGCCCAAAATCTGGGGGCTCTGGGGGCAAACAGGGGTGTGTGGTACAGGCCAGGGGAGATTGGGCATCTTGTGGAGCAGGGACAATTTGGCTGTGGAATCCAGAGGTGAGGGACTATGGGATGCTGTGAGGGGTAGGAGACCCCAGCAATAAATTAAACTAGTGAATGATCTGCCAATGACTCTGTTAATTGGTCACTGCTAGCAGGAGAATCTACCCTTGTTAATATATTCATACACAGGATTAAAAGGGGGGATTGAGTTTGCAGTTCTGGGGGCTTTGACTGTGTGTGGGGCATGGCTGCAAGACCAGAGACTCCCCCCAAAAAATCCTAGGGGGCTCCCCATTGCAACCCCCCACAGACTCCACCTTACTTGCTCTGCTGTTTCCATCCCCTGCCACCAGGAGACATGCTTGTTTAGGAAGAGGGGGGCTTAGGCAGGGTCGGGGTTATTTGGGGGGAAGGTTTAGAATTTGTGGAAAATGTTGAAGGGGTCAGGGTGGGAGAGATGGTTGAGCAAGGGTGGGGTTCATGTGCAGGTGTTGGGGGCTGGAAAGGCAGGTGTGAACATAGAAGAGTGTGCAAGATGAGGAGTGAGTGTGCACATGTGGCCAGCTGTCCCCAGATGCACATGGCTGACAAAGAGGTGTGTAAGGGCCAGTGTGTGTTTTCGCTAGGTTAGGTGTGTCTACTGGTAGAAGGGGATGGTGGGCATGCACGTGAGTCTAGGGAGGAGAATGTCTCTGCACAGCCAGGTGTGTGTGGCCAGGTATGTGGACCTAAATGGTAAGTGTGTAAGGAGGTGTGAAGGTGTGTGTGCATGTTCGGGATGTATATATGAGTGAGTGTGTGTTAAGTCAGGCTTTCTTTTAGGGCCTGTGCATGTGTGTGTATGTGTGTGTGACGCCAGCCTCTGTGGCTATGTCTACACTGGTGGGTTATTGCATAAGAACATCTTGCGCAAGAGTTCTTGTACAAGAACTCTTGTGCAAGAAAACGTCCACATTGCCATGTGCGTGCTGTGCTTTTGTGCAAGAGCAACCATGGCAGTGTGGATGCTGTCTTGCGCAAGAAAGCTCTGATGGCCATTTTAGCCATAGGGATTTCTTGCACAAGAAATCCCTGCTGAGCGTCCACACTGCCCTCTTGCACAAGAGCTCCTGTGCAAGAGGGCTTACATCTGTTAAAAAAAGAATGTAGCTCTTGCGCAAGAAGCCCTCTCTTATCACGCCGTACTGTAAATCTTCTTGCGCGAGAGCTGTGGGCTGTGTGGACGCTTTCCGGAAGAACGTCCATTCTTGCACAATAACCCACCAGTGTAGACATAGCCTATGTGTGAATGTGGATCTATGAACATGACTGCCATAGTTGCAGTGCTGAGCTGTTGTGTTGATAGCTGCAGGAGGTGTGGATTTATTGTGTCTATAACTGAAATGTGGATGTGGATGAGGTAGTTGTGTTTACAGTTTTAGATGTGTGTGTGTTTGAATGCTTGTATTTCCAGGCAGTTGATATGTTGCAGATATGTTGTGTCTACATGTGAAGTGTGTTTAGGTCTGGGAATGAATTGTTTTGTTGAAAATTGCAGAGCTATGTTTGTGTGTATTGTTGCATCTATAAATAAGTAGCAATGTGGGTAAGTGAACATTGAGGTGTTTGTATTGAAAGATGCGTGTTGTAAGTGGCAGTGCGGTTAGTTGTGTATCAACAGACATGTAAATAGTTAAGTGCGTTGTTGTGTCTATATGTGTGACTGGATGGGTGTGTATCTGTGTGTAGATGTGTGCATTCTTTATATAAGTGAAGCACATTTAGATGTGTGCAGGAATCCTTGGGTTGACACGGATGTGTGTTTTGTGTGTGTTTGTGGATTGTGTCTACAAGTGTGAGTGTGCACAGCATATGTGCTGATAGGTGCTGTGTGCATGTGTGAGAGTGCCCCTTCCTTGGTTGCTGTTAATTTCCACTGGGGATGTGTATTTGCTGTGAATATGGTGAGGTGTGCAGGTAGCTGCAGCTGTGTGGGCATATGGGGTTGTGCATAGAGGACGAGTGTGCAAGGAGTTGGCAGTTGTACAAGAGCCTGCTGTGCTTCAAAGAGGTGTGTGAAGATGGCTCTGTGTGTGAGAGAGAGAGAGGAGCCGGGAGTGTGCAAAGGGGTCCATGGGCATGTGAGAGTGCTGATGGGTGTGTAACGACAGCAGAGTGTGGTTGCTGGGGGTCAAGGGAACCTCAGTGCTTATGAATGGTGGTGTGCGAAGGCACTTGGAGGCGCAAAAAGGCATCTGTGAATGAGCTAAGTGGCGGGTGCACTGAGGGCTCCTATGTGAGCAACAGCATCCGTGACTTGGCAGGGTAAGTGTGCAACATAGGAGGTGTGTGTGCCAGGTCATTTGTGTGTGTGTACGCCAGGTGCTCAGGGTGTGTGCAGATGGTTAAATATCATGCAAAGCAACTGCTGAGTGTGCACCGAGTATGCACCATGCTTGGCACAGGCATGAGTGGCCCTGTGAATGTGCAATGGGATTAATGGAAGGCTCTCAAAGAGGTCAGCATGGTCCAGGTTTGCATGAGAGGTTCTGTCCATGCATCAGGAGCTCTGTGGCTGCTGCAAAGGACTCAGGGAGGGTGCAAAGACCTGGGTTTCATTGAACTGGTGAGTGTGAAAGGGGCTGTGAAGGATCAGTGTGCAAGAGGTCCTGGGCCTGTGTGTGAGGGACTCAAGGAGTGTACAAGGGAGTTCTCCTCTGTGCAAAGGTGTCTATAAGGGGCTCAGTGCATACACAAGGGGCTCCAGGAGTGTATGAGGGACTTCACATAAGTTCAAGGAGCACCACATTCGTAAATGGTCACTGAGTGTGCAAGGATATCAGGAGATGTGCCAGGGGCCACGTGACTTGTATAAGGGGCTTTTGGTATATGTGCCAGGGGAGAGATGAGTGTGCAAAGGTCATAGAGAGGCAATGTGTATGTGCAAGGGGTGGACAAGTGTGCAAGGAATTCAGGGTGTGAAGGGCTCAGTGTGTGCAAGGACCTCTCTGTGCTGAGTGCAAGGAGCTCTGCAGGTGCAAGGTGACTGATGTGTGTGCAATATATTGCTGCATGTGCAACAAGGTCAGTGAGTGTGCAAGGGCCTGGTGCATGTGCAAGGGGGTCCCGAGTCCCCCGTCTTGCCCTGGCTCCTCCAATCCCCCTACGGAGACAGGCTGGGGGGAGGGGCTGCACGGCAGACGCTAATTAAGGCCTCTGTGCGTCTAATTAACGCTCTCCATTGGCACAGAATTAATTAGGCCCCAGGTTGCCATGGAGATGGGACGTGACCTAGAAAAGAAAACCAAAATTGGGGGGTGGATTTGAATGTTTCCGTTACAGCGGGACAGGCTCCAGGTGGTGACCTCTGACCCCAGGGGAGTCCTGGCCTGAGAAAAGCTTTGGCCACCTGGATCACCTGACCCTTGACCCCCACTTGTGACCTTTCCAGGGTGTTCCCCCCCCCTCCAATAGCTGAGACTCAAAGAAATCATGGTTGACCTCTTACCTTTTCTGACCCCAGTGGGTACCTCTGACCCTATGGCTCTTTGACCTCCCAAAATCCCAGAGCTCAGACCCCAAGGAATATCCAACCCATTGATGCCTGCAACCCCCAGTGACTTCTGATCCCTAGAAACATTGGCACATCTTATTGCTTGACCTCTGACTCTTGCTGACCTCTCTGACCCTTGACCCACCATATTGTTGGCTTCTGATCCCCGTGAACTTTGACCCTAGGCATCCTTTGACACCCTTGACTGCTCTGACACCCAGAGACATCAGTGATTTGTGACTTTTGACCCCATTGGCCTCTCTCACCCCTGGGCCCATGTCCTTTGACCTCCATCCAATGCTTATTAATGGTTTGTGACCTTTGGCCTTTGTTGACCTCTCTACCCTCTGGCCCTCAAGAATCTTTGACTTCTGACACCCTACTGACCTCTCTGACCCCTGATCTTCCAACATCATTAATCTCTGTAACCCCCTTCCTTCTGATTCCATTGACCCCTTTGTCCTCAATGATTTGTGACTTCTGACCCCTGGGATCTTTGAAAGGTGGCAAAAATTGCAGCTGCTGCTAATCTGCTCAAGATAGTGAAGGACAAAGCATATTGTGAAGAGCTTCAAAAGGATCTCACAAAACTAGGTGACTGGCCAACAAAATGGCAAATTAATTTTAATGTTGATAAATGCAAAGCAATGTACATTGGAAAACATAATCCTAACTATACATAAAAAATGATGGGGACTAAATTCTGTCTTACCACTGAAGAGAGAGATCTTGGAGTCACTATGGATAGTTCTCTGAAAACATCCACTCAATGTGCAGCGGCAGTCAAAAAAACAAACAGTATGTTAGGAATTATTAAAAAAGTGATAGAGAATAACGCAGAGAATATCTTTTTACCTCTATATAAATCTGTGGCACGCCCATGCAGATGTGGTCACCTCCTCGCAAAAAAGATATCTTGGCATTAGAAAAAGTTTAGAAAAGGGCAACATTAGGTTTTGGAACAGGTCCCATATGAAAAAACATTAAAAAGACTGGGACTCTTCATCTTAGAAAAGAGGAGACTAAGGAGGGATATGATCGAGGTCTATAAAATCATGACTGATGTGGAGAAAGTGAATAAGGAAACATTATATCTCGCTCCCATAACATAAGAGCTACGGGTCACCAAATGAAATTAATAGGTAGCAGGTTTAAAACAAACAAAAGAAAGTTTTTCTTTATGCAACACGCTGTCAATCTGTGGAACTCCTTGCCTGAGGATGTTGTGAAGATCAGGACTTTAACAAGATTAAAAAAAGAACTAGATAAATTCATGGATGTCCATCAATACTTCATTAGCCAGGATGGTTAGGAATGGTATCCCAGCCTCTGTTTGTTATGGGCTGGAATTGGATAACAGGAGAGGGATCACTTGATGATTCCCTGTTCTGTTCATTCTCTCTGGGACATCTGGCTTTGGCCACTGTCTGAAAACAGGACAATGGGAAATGGATCTTTGGTCTGACACAGTCTGGCCGTTCTTATGTTCTTACGTTTATCCCTCTATCTCCGAGGGGCCTGGGATCCCCCATGACCTCTCACCCCAACCTCATTGGCCCTACAGACCCCTGACCTCTCCTGGGGATCTCTTTCGCACAGCGCTCCACTCCAGACCTTCCCATCTCCATGTCTGTGGGAGGCAGTGGTTTGGCAGGGCTGGAAGGAAGGCATGGGGCAGAACGGGGGTCTGAGATGAGGAAGTGGAGGGACAGAGACCCCCGTTCTGTGGGGCTGCAGTAGAGAGGAGAGAGCAGAGAGCATGGGGGGATAGGAAGTGAGGGGTATGCTGGGGTGGGGGGGGGAGTTGCATGGGGGGGTCTCTCTGGGGCTCCTGGGAGTCTCTATGGAGCTGCAGCGGAAGGACGGATAGGATACAGGTGGGGAGTCTGAGATAGGCATGGCAGGAGGTCATGGGTGCCTGGGTTCTTCAGGGAAGGGATTAGGGGACAGGGGTGATGGAGGGAGGTATCTAGTGGGGGTTTGGGGTGCAATGGGGGTGATCAAGGAGGCTGGGAGGCAGTAGGATCTTATTTGTTTTTTAAGGGGACAATGGCAGCTGCCAATCCCCACCCTTCCAGAGAGGCCCCTCATCCCTCCAGACCCCCCACCATTCTGGTCTGGGAAAATAAGGTTCACTGTAGCCCCCCAAATAGAATGGGCTTTGGGAGTCAGCTACATTCATAGGTGGAGGAAGTGGTCTCTAGTGACACTGCCTCTCTCTCTGTGCCCCCTTGCTCTGTGCCTCTTGCTCTCTCTGTGCCCCCCTCCTCTCTGTGCCCCCTGGCACTCTCTATGCCCCTCCCCCACTCTCTGTGCCCCGCTTTTTGTGCCCACAGATATCCGGGACAGTGGAAAGAAACCAGTGATGCTTTTCCTCCATGGCGGCTCCTACATGGAGGGGACAGGGAACATGTTCGATGCCAGTGTGCTGGCTGCCTATGGCAACGTCATTGTGGTCACCATGAACTACCGCCTGGGGGTGCTGGGTAAGGACCCCCAGAGCTGTCCTGGAATCCCAGCCCCCTCAAGTCACACCCCCCCTTGGATACCATCCCACTCAAGCTCAC